GGCCCCCGGGGTGGGTACCGTGTTGACGTGCGTTTCTCCCGGGGGGATGGATGCATGGGCGACCGCCACCCGGATGGGGGCTCCTCGCCCGGGGCCGAGTTGAGCTCTGCTGTCGGCGTAGCTTCCCCTTGTGCTGGAGGGGGAGGGGGCGGGTCAGAGGGTAGGGTGTCTGTGGGGTTCCCAGGCCACCCGCCACCCCTCCCTTTGTCCCTGTATTTTATAAAGCGCCTTTGAGAGATGATTTAGGTCAGTATGCGGCTTCCCTTTTTGTTGGTGCTAGAAAGAAGTGTGGCCCTTTCTCTGCTTCATTCCTTCCCCTCCTTGGCTTCTGTCTTCACCCTCGTGGTCAGGCTTGGCCCTGACCAGGCTAAAACCGACCCGGATACACTGATAGATCAATCGTTGCATGATAATGCCAGCCCACCTCACCTAGTCTGGTCCAAATGTGTTTTCGCACCATCAAGATTGTGCTGGGGTCTTTACGAAAAGTGTGCACATAGGTAGGACTTGGGGAAATAGGGTGGGTTGAGGAATAATTAATTTTATAATTTTTTCCCCCGTTTCTGCTCCTAATTTTGCCCTGGGTTGGATCTTAAGTGCTTTCCAGCACTTGCTGAGGATGTGTGATACAGTCCCAGTCAAAGACACTCCTGGTTTTAGTGACTAGGGTCTGCCAGCAGGGGGGTGGTTCTGTACCAGCTTACACATACAGTATTCTGTGTGCTAGATCCTTGGTCGCAGGCTTTTCCATGCTTTTATTAGCAGTAAATAGTCTTACTGACTTGACTAAACATGCTTGGCCATACTAAAAGAATATTTACTCCCCTACACAGTTCTGTTCCTGTATCTTAAATCACCGGAAACAACTAGCTATTGACAGACTTCTTGGATTAGATTCAGATTGGGAAGGGGGGAGGGTGTTAACTTCTGATAATGGGAAATTGTGAGACCACTAAATTGCTTTAAAGAAATGCCTTAGGATATTTGCTGGACCAGGGCTCCAAGACTGTCTAACCAAATTTACATGTAATTAACTGTATTTAAAGTATAAAATAATTGCCATCAGCATAAACTTCATTCCTCTTGCCATGAGATTATTATTCCAGAAATGTGGATTCTTTTGAATTTGTACACTCAAAAATAATTTTTCGTTACAGGAATATAAATGCAACTTATACATATTCAGAAGTAGTTTTATATAAGGTTGTAATGTATGCTGAATCACTGTTCTATCTATGGTTTAGGAGCTACCCCTGGGAGGGTAGGAAGTTTATCTCTTCCATACATACAAAGTCCTAAGCCTTGCCTGCAAAGTTTGGTTTATATTTTTCTTATCAGTATTATCATAGGCTTCCAGTTAAGTCTTAGAATTTGTTTTATTTTGAATGTGGGTTTTTGTTTTGTTTTGTTGTTTTAAGACAGGGTCTGTTGTAGCCTCGAACCCTAGTCTTTCTGCCTCTACATGCCCCCCTCCAAAGTACGAGAATCAAAGGCATATACCATTTGGAATTCTGAAACTTAATTGATATTCTTTCCCTAAGCAGGAAGGTGGGATGGCATAGCTAATGACCATCCAAACAGTTTGTGTTCAGGAGGAGATGCGGGAATTCTTCAGGTAGCCAGAGTTCCAGACCCACATGGGTCTACTTCTAAGTTCTGTCTCCAGAACACCTAAGACAGTGACCAAGAACCAGCCACTCACTGTCTCAACAGCTGTGTAGAACCTCATCTTTTATAGGCTGTCTGTTGGCAAATAATCTGACTTAATCTGTCAAAACTGTTAATTCTATAAAATAGGACAATGATAATATTAACTTTGATGCTTTAAGAGTCATATATAGGTAAAATACTTAGCATAGGGCCTGGCAAATAGTATCCCATACAATTAATATTCATAAATAAATATTTTTATGATTTGGAGAATTAGTGTAAGACTGCATACATACTCTCCCTGTGTTTACATATGTGAGCAGAATGGTCAGAAGTTTTCTAAAGTGGCATGTAATTTCATTCTTACTCCAGAAAATTGAGGATCTATTAATGCAAGAGGCTGTGGCCTGCCACGTCACATTTAATTTCATCCAGTCATAGCAATCTGCTGATTATACTTTTCAGAACCCTCGGTGCCTGATCATCTCGTCTGAGAAGGGAGGAACTGTAGAGGCTGTCACCAGGGTCTCCTTCCCTGTGCCAGTGTCAAAGAAGAAAAGTGTCCCAGCCTGTGGTCCTGTCTCGGTGATCTCGCTTCCACTGAGATGCCTGGTTGAGGCCACGCTGAAGCTGCAAGGGAATTTTTAGTTACTACATACTCCCAAAAGGAAGTTTTAATATAACACAGTGCCCAGACTTGGGCTGTCCAAATACCTCCACTGTAATCAGTACAAAGTCGCCACCCTAATCATCCTTGGGAACAAAGCACCTTTAAGTTCACTAAAGCACCCAAGCTTGAGAACAGGAAAGGACTGTGTGTGTGTGTGTGTGTGTGTGTGTTTCTAAAAATCACCACCTTCTGTAAAACTTGGAGGGATGGATTCTGAGATTAACAGTGTGCTATGTAAAGGTAACTTGAAAACAGAAAATAATACTTGAGGCTTAGGCATGAATAATAACCAACACCTGGATGGTGACAGACTGGTGGGAAGGGGCGGAGTTTTATTTGGTGTCGTAGAAATAAAAAGCAGTAGTTTTCCTTCAACTTCTGGCATGATTGTCATCTCCAAAGATACCACTCAGACCTTAACCCTTTTCTAAGTGACTTGGATCCATTTGGCTGTTTTTCTGTAACTTACCTTGATTCAGAAATAGTTGGTGTGACCGACCCGTTACATCCATTTTTCCCAAGCTAGCCGGCTCCCAATCCATCTTTCCCATATACTTTCTAATAGTTTTCCTCATAATTGGTGCTTAGTAGACCGAGTCACTCAGCATCTACAAAACTACCCCAAATAATGCAAGGTGTAAAAAAAAAAGTCCATCTTGATTTCTGTCAGATTGCCATTCTTTTTTTTTTCTTTACAGAGGAGGAACATCCTTGAATTCTTCAAGGTACAGAGTATATCGTTTTAATGCATATTTTTATGCTTGTTAGCAGTTTAAAAATAGTGTTCCAGGGACTGTATTTACAGTTACTAAAGAGCCCTTTTTTTTTCCCCCCCTGTTAATCATTTTTCATGGGACTAGGAGGGGCAGATAACCGAGAAAGCAGTAAATACAGGAAACCGCTGATGTATCTCCTTCCCCCTCCCCTGGTCCTGTCTGCCTTCTAAGAATGACTGGGAAAGTAAGCTTACACAAAGAAGAGCTATAGTATAGAAGATTCCAGAAAGCAGCTACTCAAATGGAGAACAGGAGACTGGCATGGTGGAGCTGGGTTAATACAGAGGGATTATGTTGGTGGCTTTCCAATAAGAGAGATGTTGGTTTATTTTCAGCTTATACCTTTACTTCAACCACTCCACTGCAGTGTGTAAGTTGCAAAAAAATGTGTTTCTCCCTCACTAGCCTTAATGGGAGTCAGTCTATGGCCACAGTTGTCTGGAACATGGTTGAAGACATGGATGTGGTGAAGCCAGAATGGAATCCCAAGGCCCGGTGAACTTGACTTTGCTGGAGGCTGTAGAGAACCAGGCCTCTGTTTTCCTTTATAACATAAGGCAGGAGCTATGGTTGAGATTGACACCAGGGAGAATGGATTGCTGATGGGAGCCAGAAGATGGAAGGAATGGCCAACTTCCCTTTGCATTCTGTACTCTAGTCAAATAGTCTGGGGCCATTTGTAATCTCTCTGAAA